CTGAAAGCTACAACTCTGCCGAATCCAACAGGCAAACTGGAATAACTGGAAACTGAACAAGCGGGGGCACATGGGCTGTGACATTTGGAGCACAGCTGAAGCATTTCATTCAAGGAAAGGGAGGAGCTTTTTTTTTTTTTAAAAGCTTCCCACTCAGCAGCAGAAACACAAAGTGACCTTCCTTCTCAGCTTAGCAATCAATTATTCTATAACAGCAAAAAATATTTAATCTGAAAAATATTTCTGACAGCATAAGTAAGCCAATCCATGAGCCAATCCAATTTATTTTTTTTTAAATCAGCTCATAATTGTTCCCCTGCTTTGCCCCATTTCCCACCAAGAAGGTAAAGAACACATTAAGTTTCATGTTACAAAGCAGAGTTTAACTAGTATTTTAGAACTAAAAAAATGTTCCCAAGCATTGCTCTGTAAAATGTCTACGTATAAGGGCTTCACGCTTCTAACATTCCTTCTGCTGCAGGACTTACTACCTTCGACTTTGCTTCTTTTTGTTTACATTGTTTCAGTAGTGCTCTCCTTGGTCAAGAGGAGAGCACCAAGCTACACCGCAATCTTTCTTAAAAATCCCCAAAGGAGAACCCACATTTTCCTGGACTCAGCTGCTATAGTTTTTCACTTTACAGGCAGCTTAAGGGAAAAAAAAAAAGTTTCCCAATAAGCAAATTCCATATACTTTACATTAAAACAATAAGTCAAATTTGGTCCAGAGTGATGTGTGACATGCCTATCGGAAAGGATTAGTCTTGAATTACAACCATGACTAGTAGCTTCTGGCACTGCCAGAGGTTTCCGGTGTAGCTCCAGCGTATCACCATTTCTGTGTCCCAGTTTCCAAATATAAAGTTGTGACAGTTCCTACCTCTCCACAGGGATGATTAGTCACTTAGCATTTTACAGATTTAAACACTGTTTAAGGAGCAAGAGCCAGTGCTACTGTTGGAGGACAACGCAATGTAGCCTATACGAGAAGCAATACATCTACAATTTTGCAACAGTTTTGAAAAACTGAGAGATAACTGGAAACACAGCAACAGTACCCATCCCTGCAACAGACCCACCTGCTTTAACACAAATGCAGCACCACTGCCTTCTGCCAGTTTCACATTAAGTCTGTAGCAAGATGCAGTTTTATAGGCCCCATTCTCAATATTCTCTCTCTGCCCTTTCTCTATAAATTCATCAAGCAGCTAACCAAAAAGTAAGCTACTATTTTCAAGAAAAAAATGCTTATAAAAGCTAACTAATCTGCTTGTTTTGCACAAATATAATCATAACTAACATAGAAAATACGGCTTATGCTTCAAGCGACGACCCAAAACATTGACATATGAGTTAATCCAGGACTACGATCCTACTATAAACCACAAAAGTGTCCTTATTTTTTTGACAGAAAAGCTGCTAAAAAACCCTCAAACAACTCTTCTTTACCAGCTATTTAAAAGATCATGGAAGTCATTTAAAGGATGAAGAAAATTTAAAGAGTGACAAAGAATACCTCATCCAAATACAGGTAAGCAAGACAGTGAAGAAAACACTTCAGGGAAATAGTTGCTTTCCTCACAGAATTTCAGGTCTTGGCATATTCAGAAAGAAATGTCAGTCTGACACCTACCAAGCTACCTTCTTGCAAGGTACCAAGTAGAGCAGCATCAGCAGCGGCTCCTTTTCTTCCCCTTTGTCAGAATTCATACTCCCTGTGGCACAACTGCTACATTTTTCTAGTTTAAGCTGGAAATAGCCAGAGCTTATTTTTAATGATAGAAGCAGCTGACTTAAATACAGAGTGGCAGAAGACCACTCCCACCAGTGTGACAGAAGATCACCCATTTTCCTTCACAGGCATAAACTCACAGTTAAGATTTAATATTGATTTGTAACACAATTATTTGTTAAAATAATATGTTGACGCTTTCTGGTTTGTAGTCAAGAAAGCATAATAGAAAAAGTGGGGTCAATTTGCTTTAAGTTCCCAGAGAATAACTTGTTCTACGTTGGCGGGCATGAAAGGTGATACGCAGTTATACCAGAAGTTCAAATAAAAAAAAAAAAAAAAAAAAAAAAAAAACACTTAAGCCAAAAAAAGAAAAAGAACACTTAAGCCAAACAAAAAAAAAAAAATCAACATTTATTAATTTGAGTGCTTGTGTAACGTTGTCTGTGTCAAACAGGATATTTCACTCTTA